AAGGAAGACTGGGTGGTGGGGGAGGTGCTCAGAGGAAGGAGATGTTCTCAGGGATGTTTATATATCTTGCACCAGTGCTGCAAGACATAAAAGGCCATATTCACAGCTGCTGAGAGCCAAAGAAACTTCTCTGAAACTAGCAGACATATGTAGATTTTAATGCTCATCAGTGCTTGGATCCTTAGCACCCTGAAAGCCCAGGGGACCTTGGATAGAGAGAGACTTGGCAGTGTGCTGTTACTTAGCATTACTGTTTTGACACCTTTGAATGAGAAGGGGAAGAATGAGGAGAGGCAGGAGGGCGCTGCAGACCCCATGCAGCACTGCCAGTGAGCTGTTTTCTCACTCCTCAGGTTGCCTGACTTCAGTCTTCTCTTTCATTCTTGGGTGCCCATTAAGTCAATATTAGGCCTGTTAATATTAGAGTCATTGAGAAGAGGAGACTGCTTTTCAGGCCATTAGCATCTCAGCATAGGTACAGATCAGGTTGGAAGTAGGGGGTAAGTTCATTTTGTGTTTAAACTGCGGTCTGCAAGGAGTAAATGGAGACCTCCTCATCAAACCAATGGACTCTGGTATGAGCCACATATCAAGTGAGGTTGCTGGGGAGCCATAGAGCTAATAGCAGCCAGGGAGGAAAAATAGCAAAGGGGATGTTTCTAGGCAACAGCCTGCAAACACTAAAGCAAGAAGCTATTAGCCTTTTGCTCAGCCGTATGCATCCATCAAATCAGCATCCCAGGGGTGGAGGAGCTATGGGCAGCCAAAATACATTCAGCATTTCTCCAGCAGAATATTTACTAGAGAAAATGTCACCTTTCTCTTTGATCTGCATCCCTCAGCAGCCCAGACTTGGCTTCTGTGCAGGCAGTGCTAGAAATGCTGTGGAGCATTTCTACTTGCTTAGCCAGCAGGAAGCCACCATGCTTAAATGTGACACTTCTGATGGGATACACCTCTCAGGGGACAAGGAGAGGAAGGAAAGGGATCCATTGTCTTTAGGCTCATACAGAAAACATCCCTTCAGATTCACCTGCTGAAAATACAGAAAACATCCACTGCAGTAAAAAAAACCAACAAAAAAACTCCCCTGATTCAGCAAAGGTAAAGTGGCTGGACAGGTGATCCCCAACTATATTCAGCTGGGGCAAGTTTATCAGAGGATTCTAGAAAGGAAAAATGTGGATGGTAAGATTTCCTTTAAGGTTTTGTTTTATTTTGTTAAGATGTGCCACGTTTTTCCCAGCTTCCTGTTCTTTTCTTTAATTTTTACTTTACACAATGAAATAGATAAATAGGAAAAAATAACACTGTAAAGAGAGAATTGAGAAGAATAGCAGACATTCTCCACAAAGCCAATCAAGTTTTACCCTCAAATCTGAAAAAAATCCCAACATTTGATTTTGAACTGCCTTCAGTTAATATTAAAAATATATATTCTGAGAGATTTGGATTGAACTTTCTAAAGGAACGGCCTCCCAGTTGACCATTTTGGTCATAAATTAACCTGGTCAAAGACATCACTTTTCTTGGGGATTCCAGACTACAGCTATCAGATTCCAGACTACAGCTGTCAGAGTAATCCACCAACATGTTGTCTGTAACATGTCACTCAATAAATTAAGTCTTTTGTTTTGTCCTTCCTAGGTCAACATATTTAATTTGCTTTACACATGTTTAGATATGTATAGCAACAGAAGATAAATCAGGAAACTCAATTAAAATCTCAGCTGAAGATCAGACTAAGCCAAGTGAAAACTGATTTGTGTTTTTTCACACAGGAATCATACAGGCATCAACTTAAAAAAGATTTTTGCACTACTGTCTTTATTCTTAAGAGTAAACTAGTCAATGTTTGATATTAAATTTTATTTAGACTAGCAAAATTTTAATTATGGACTTAGCCAGATTTCCTCCTGTTTGTACTAAGTGATTTCATAAAATTTTCTTCTTTCTAAAGAAATAAACTCTGTATAGACTTAGATAACTATTATTTTTGATTTTTTTTCTGCTTATGAGTAGTCCAAGAGTATGTGATAACACACAGATATTTATTATTATATAAAATTACCTATAAAATACTCCATGAGTAGCCTGTGGACTTTCTGAATGATGAAGACCACTGCCAAATGTGCAATTTACAATTCATATTATCATATTTACAGTTGATTTCTGGAACATATTTAGTTGTAATTTAGCTAAATCAAACAATCAAAGCAAGTAGATAAAACTGTATGTTTGCTGAAGTCACTGGTTGCTATGTTGGATGGTTAACGAACGAAGAGAAAGAAGTAAGGGTTCATTAGACCCATTAGGGTTCATTAGACCCATTAGGGTTCATTTGTCATTAGTGAACACAAATCTCAATATTCATTTCTGACAATCATACTATTTTTGCAGGTTTCCTGGTTGTAGAGTTTGAGCACTTGTTTATTTATAGAACAGGAACCCAAAGGGCTCAATCCATTTACAGTTTGAATGATTATTTGCACAAGCTTTTTTTCTTGCTATTTGTCCATCTCTGCAATTTTCTAGTGCCAGCGGAAGATTTATTTACCACTGCCATGTGATCCAGTCTACCTGAGAAAAGGTTGGCAAAGGTAATTTTCCTAGTGAAGTCTTCCCTGACAGACGAAATGCATGCTGGAGAATGTGTGTTTGTATGGTTTCCCTAGCCAGTAATCTTTACCAGCATTTAACCTCTGGAAAATATAAGCATCAGAGCTCTTCCTGGTATGAGAGAGTGACAAAAAATACTTATAACCTTGACCAATGTTACTGGCAACAGTTTTTTATAACCTTAGACATCAGAGACAGTTTTAAAAAGATACAGACAAATTGAAATCTAGGTACTTCAAAAAAAAAAACCCTAAATCATAGTTACTGTAGACAAGGTCCTGTTCTGACATTTGTAGTTTCATCATACCTTGTGCTTGGAATGCTGTCTTTTCATTTTTTCTGCTCCTTTCAACCTTCCCCGCTGCAGGAGGGAGACCCGCAATCAAAAGAAGAGAACGGACTGACTAGAAAGGACTAGACATGAAACTCCCTGTGCTGTCAAATGTACAAAGCAATGTAGAGATGAGGGAGTTTGGGTGGGTTTTCTGTTATTTTGGTTTTATATGTTTGTGTTCAGAAATCTCAGGCAGCACTGGCATGTTGTTGAAATAAGGCTTCATGTAAAATTTGGAAACATCACCTAAAGGCCTGCTTTACATTTCAGAATAAGGTGTAACGCACTTCGTGGCAACAGTTAGAATAAGATGTTTTAGTCAATTATCTCTGAACCTTTATAACTGCCTTTCATAACTTTTCTCTAACAGACTTATCAGACTGCATCTCTGGTTCATTTACACTGTGGAAAGTGGCATAACACTGTACCTCGGCAATTGCTCTTTGTATTCATGACTTGACACTCACATTTCACTGGCACAGGCAGGGAGGCAAAGGGCAGGACAATAAAAATGAAGGCTCTCGGTTTTAGTTCCATGACAAAAACTTGGATAAAGTCATAGTCAGCACTGTTATATTCATCCACAGCAAATGTTCAAAAAGGGGTTACCCCTGAACACTCAGAATTAAGCAGTAGGGTGAGGAGTCACTTCCTGCCACACGCTTTCCGGTCTTACACGTGTTGCGGTGGCAGGTAGGGAAGCCGAACTGGTACGTTGCAGAAAATGTGGTTGTGATGTTGACAGGCTCCTGTTTTGCTGGTAAACGAGAGGCAAGCATAGCGGGGAGCAGCCATTTCGCTTGAAATACCAGTTCGTGTCATATCTGCTGTATACTTCCTTCCGCTGCATTCTCCGCCTGTGACTGCTATATGCGAGCACTTCACGGTCTTGAGCATGTGCACATCCTCCACTGGTTATCGTAAAGCATGTTGTTACATATGCCCAAAGTTACAGCAGCTGCGCTTATATGAGCAGGTGAAAAGTCCTCCATAAAGTCTGCAGCAAAGCAGAGACTTGAACCTGAGTCTTACTAATGCTGTCACTTATTCTTCCCTACTCTGCTAAATAAAAAAGGAAACATGTATCTAACTCTTGCAGTATTTTGGAAATCTAAAAATTATTCTCATCTACGTATCAAACACTGCTAGAGAGAACTACGGCAAGCAGGGCACTCTCTGGGCTGGTGGGCCCCACATGATCCCACTTAGCACAGACCTACCGACCATCAGCACATACCATGAAAAGCATGGTTTTGGAGTGTTTCTGAAGAAACGCAGGTTATGAAGGGTGATGTTCAGGGCCACCAGGGAATTCAGTTCACTGTACGTACACTGTGTGTGTTGCCGAGATACTCACAACCACTGGATGCAGCTGAGCTGCTGTTTCTTCTTCCACTGTATGTATCCAAAGGGCCTAAGAAGTTCAGACAGGTGCCGAACTGAACCTGCTCTCTTTCTACTCATGCCTTTCACAGCAGGGGTGCTCATCAGCCCAGCCTTCCAGCAGGCTTTTAGATATCCTCAAAGACTGACCTGAGCAGTCACATACAGTTAGACCTCCCTTCCCCACCCTCACATGTCTTCATAATACTATAAACTTTTTTGCTAAAATAGCTGTGGTACTTTTAAATTAGTTTTCCAATTCATGTGCATTTCTTCAAACATAATGAAAAATTAAACTTAAGGATTAATTTGTTACTAAGTGTTCCTGTCTCTTCAAAGAGGAAAAAAAATTGTCAGTGAGACAACTTTTGGTTTTGGCGTTCTTACAAGAGGTACTTACGTCAACAGCACCTCAGCTAAATGTGAAGAACAGGCATGGAGATGTAACCCAGAACTTCTCATGTACTGGTGGAGAAGAAGAGTTTCTAGGCTCCAGTTTTGGTTTAGCTATTTCTCTTTGAATTCAATTTTTCATACTGCAGTGCCTTCATTTAACTATGGCCACAACATCCTACTTCAAAAGCAAAACACGTCATCTTGCTGTTGGCCATCGTCTTCCTGTTGCTCAGCTGAAGGCTGCTGTTTGCATAAGCTGTGCTGAATCCTGCGTGTTGCACGGAGCAGTCCTCAAAATGATTTCTTATTGTCCCATATGTGGGAAGCCTGTTTACTTTGGTAAGTGTCTACCATTGCAAATAATTTATGTTTTATTATGTGTTTTTATAATGGAATTTGAAATCAGGCACTTTTTGTCTTGCTTCTGTTGCATTTGCATTCATAATTAGTAAGCTTCCATTCATAATGGTACTTAATGAGACATCATCAACTTAAAATGTAATCAAACAGCCAGTTCAGAGTAGTCGTGGTAGTTGCACATGTTTCTGACTTGCTGCATCACAGTATTTACAGCCATGCTGTCCCATTTTACTTGTTTTTTCCCCTTGATGGGTGTGCAAAAGATATATATGGGCAAGGGAAACACACAGGTATTTTGAAGAGAGGGTGAAATCAATGAGATTAATTGCGTTAAGCGATGCCAAAAGTGCTTAGCAGAGAAAACAAACCAAGATAGATTGGCAATGTCTAGTCTTTCTGCTACTGTGAACATATATGTTAGTTTAAATGTCCAAGCAGCTTCATAGATAGAGTGATTTTAAGCTGGTGCTGTTTCTTTAAACACATTTCAATATCATCTGTTCACAGCTCACTGGATATCTGGATAAAATGTCTGGAGATGACCTCCCTAGAATTAAAGTGTTCATATAAATCCTTCTTGCTTGTGCACTTTTGTGTTCTGGCCTCAGGCTTGTTACTACTTCTGCTTCTTTCTGCTAAAATAATCTGAGCTGCTCCCCAAAGATTTGTGCAACAGGGCAAGTTCCTACTCTGGTGTTGCTATAGTATTTACCCATATTTGTAACCAATAATTTGCACACGAAGCCAAAAGGTCCCGCTGCACTAAGAAATGGGCTACCTTGCTCTCCTGTGTGGCCAGAGATAGAGGACACTGGAGGGGTGTTCGGTGAGGCTAAGAGCAAAGGGGACCACAATACTGCCTGTCTCCCATTGCCCCCTGGAGTCCCCAGGGAATATCCTGGGTGTCCTATCTTCAGATCTGAGCGGGGAGAGCTGGATCCTGCAAAAAAACTTACCGTCAGTTTGCGATGCAGGACCAATCTGAGTGCAAGCGTTACCTCATTCACTTGCTTGCAGCCCCACCGGTACCCTGAAATGGCCTCAGGGAAGGCGCAGCTTGCGCGGGCGATTCTCTGAGCATCTTCAGGCAGCCACTGTACATTCGTGACTGCTGCAAAGTCGGGTGGCCAGGGCACCTGCGTCGCAAGGGGCAGTCTTAACCCACACAGTCCCTGTGAAGCTCACATAACCTTTGACAGCTCCTCCAGGTCAAACTGCTCTGACTGCTTCCTAGTTGCTGTTTGGGGAGGAAAATACCCACCACACTCCGCAGCACAGGCTGGGTCCTGGGACTCTGGAGTGTGATTCTTATTGCATTAGTTCCTAGTAGTGACACAGAGTCTGCTTTTTTCTTTGAAAAAGCATTCTCTGCAATTTCTATTAGCTTGAGTAAGCACACACATGTGGGAAGAGGGAGAGGGTCGCTGTGCCCATCTCCCTCTGTCCCCTGTGACCCAGAGACAAAATATCTTCAAGTAATAAAGACTGATAATGTAAGGATTAAAAAAAAAAAAAAAAAGCTTTGCAGAAGAGTTACAATCATTTTTAACATTGGTTTCAAAAGCCCAGAGAATTGAAAGTAGGTATGATGTTTGCAAGGGATCTGGCCTTTGAAAGCACAGCAGTGCATGGCCAAGGCCCTAAGCAACCAGCCCAGAGGGCAGGACGAGGTGCAAACAGCTCAGAGGAAGTAAGTGGGTGCAGCCAGGGGCAGCTGCAGGCTGGCAGCAGAACTGCAGAGGTAAACTGGGGGTGTAACGCTACTAAGAGGTGAATATTATCTCAGCTGGTGGTTTCTGTGTTTGGTAGAATCTAGCTCCATGTGAAATCATCTTTAGCTAATTGATTCCAATTTAACAGAGTTTATTGTGTGGGACTTACATCTTCTAAATATTATACCAAATTGACAGAAATCCCGCTAGTCAATGGAACTTTCTCATTTTAGTACAGTAATTCCTCTGCTACTTGCTCAAGAATGTGTCACAGTATTACTAGAGATGTTGTAGTTTGCTTTTCGGGGCAGCTCTTGTTTCACCAGCTTCATTATTTTCCAATGTAAAAAATGTTTTTTATTGCTTGCATAAAATGTCATGGCTCAGTGTACAGTAACTGCACTATTTCCTGTAAGGTCTTCTCTGTTTGCAGCTAATATATCTGCTTAAGTGGCTACAATAGTTTATGCTTTATTACAGCTTTTCTAGCTGAAATAGTTCAGTTTCTTCTTCTGATCTCATTCTCTGATTTTCATGGGTTTATAACTCAATCATGTAAAGAAACTTATACAGAGATTATTAGCCTTGCTTTTCTGTTATTAATAGGATGCAAAAGGAAAGGATTACAGCACTTTGAAGAAAGAGTTTGCATTCTTTTATAATGCTCTCAGCTATACAACTTTTTAGCTGCAAAACAGTTTAGTTCAAGGATAAATGTGGTACAAAATCCTGTTTGTGAAGCAGCAGCATCTGAAATGGCGTTTTGCAATGTTAGTCACTAATAATGTGCAGCACTGTTTTTTTCATCAATCATCACAGTTTTCTCTGTAAAACAAGGCTCTGTCTCTATAGTAAATGCATCCGTTTAAAACAGTTTTTTGCCTTTAAGTTCTTAACTTGAAAAGTTAAAAGTGATTTGATTAAATGGCTAAATCTTTGTATGGACACACTCATATTGATTTAATGGGACCCTGTTTGAAGATCAACAGCTGATGGGGAGAGACGGGATCCACCTTACCAAGCGGGGCACGCGCATCTTTGCCAACAGATTGGCCAGCCTGGTAAGGAGGGCTTTAAACTAGGCAAGATGGGGGAAGGGGAGTGGTATAGTGGCAGGGGAGTCAGTAAAACACCGTTCAAGTCAGGATGCCTCCAGCGGGTGCATACAACCAGGGGAGACAGCATGGGACATGGCTATGGAGGATCCTCTTGCACCTCTTCTGGGAAGCCTGCGTGCTTGACTGGCTCTCTCAAATGCCTGTATACCAATGCACGCAGCATGGGGAATAAGCAGGAAGAGTTAGAGATCTGTGTGCGGTCGCAGGGCCATGATCTCATTGCAGTGACAGAGACATGGTGGGATAGTTCACATGACTGGGATGCTGTCATGGATGGCTATGTGCTTTTTAGGAAAGACAGGCCAGGAAGGCGAGGTGGTGGAGTTGCTCTTTATGTGAGGGAGCAACTAGAATGTATGGAGCTCTGCCTCGGGGTGGATGAAGAGCAAGTTGAGAGCCTATGGGTAAGGATTAAAGGGCAGGGTAACATGGGTGACACTGTTGTGGGGGTCTACTACAGGCCACCTGACCAGGAGGAAGTCATCGATGAGGCCTTCTACAGACAGCTGGAAGAAGCCTCACGATCACAGGCCCTGGTTCTCATGGGAGACTTCAACCACCCTGACATCTGTTGGGAAGACAGCACAGCTAGGCACAAACAGTCAAAGAGGTTCCTGCAAAGCATTGATGATAACTTCTTGAC